GGGGGGCGACGGTAGAGGTTCATTATTTTGTAAGAAAGAGTAGGTCTGAATGGTAAAGTAAAGTTGTTGCCGCATCCGACCCGGACATTGGGGATTGCCTTGTTAGTGAAACAACTTCCTGGGCCTTCGTGGCCAGTTGCTTTCCACGGCGCCTTTAATTCCCCAACTCAAAGTCAGGTACCCATTACTGCTGGGTGGGCAGGGGGGGGCGAAAAAAATCTGTGTCCACACCGAGATTCGAAACCCAGACTTTCCGCTTCGGAGACGAGCGCACTAACCGCTCCGCCACCGCACCCTTTGAAGGGTAAAAAGTAAAATAATAGACAAGGAGAAAAGTGACTGTCTTAGACAGATCTGCCACCCAGTTGAGGAGAAAAGCGATTGCCTTAGATTAACATCTTAGACAATGTCATTACAATTTTTTTTTTAACAGAAGGAAGAAGAGAGAAGTGGTCGTTTGCACGTAAGTGATTTTCTTGAACAGGTACAGGTAGTTGTTAGAGCAGGTATGACAGTATCCCACAGGTATGACAGTATCCCACAGGTATGACAGTATCCCACAGGTATGACAGTATCCCACAGGTATGACAGTATCCCACAGGTACGACAGTATCCCAACACACATAGGAACTAACTGCCCTTGGTGAAAAGTACGGAACAACCGGCTGTTCGTGCAATAAGGCTACTCAAACTTAAGAAAAAATAAATACACACAAAGACAAAAAACTACAGATGAATACAACAGACGGATAGAAAGAAGAACAAAGAACCGGTACTCACTCCTCACACTGGGCAGAAGCCTTCAGCTCCGTCGCTCGGATCAAGAAGTTGTGGATGAGCGCCCGTAGGTTCCCCGTGTGGCAGTTGTTCAGGGCAAAGCTGCGTGCTACGCTGTCTGTCGACTCCTCCAACAGGCGAGCATCAGAGCTGGGGACACACAGAATATTTAAGATAAGATAAGACTCGTAGTTGTGAGGTTGCGGGTTCGGGGGTTCAAGCCGAAGGCCCAATGTTGTGTCATTGGGAAAGGCACTTTACACGAACTTTCCTCACTTCACCCAGGTGGGAAATGGTACCCGGCCATAGACAGCGTAAGATCTTGTCAGTATGCTAGTATTTTAGCCCCAATAAATGGCCGCTTGCACTGTATGCTTCTCAGGACGTTGAGATTGTTTCAGAATGCTAGCAGGTCAGCTGGGGTAATAATATAGATTATAAAGCAAATAGAGCTTGCTATAAAGAGGGAATTTGCTCTTTAAAAATGCTATCTATTATTATTATTATTATTACTATTATTTTTATTATTATTGTCATAATTATCATTATAAAATTATTATTATTATCATTACCTGGAGACAGGGATCTGGAAGGAGAAGGACAGAAGCTGGTTCCAGAACGGGTCCATTTGGTCGATAGGTTCTGGCCCCGACAGACGCCGGAGATACTCATTGGACGAGAGCTCGCTGAGGCTGCTGCTGGTGGCACCCATGGTGAGACTCTCGGGAGGTCTAGGCGGGGGCTCGGTGGCCAACTGGGTTCGAGATCTTACAACCGCTGATGCTGGCGATGATTTTGTTCGCTCAGTGATATTTTAGAAACCTGACAAGACATGGATATTTTATCAATTTCAGTTCGCATTGATCAGCAAATCAAAGTTCAGGGCCTAGAGTTGGACAAAGTAGTAGTAAGTCCGTTCTGAAATGATGAACCAGTTAATTTTTTTTTTCAAACACGTTGTTTATAATGCTATTTTTACACAGATCATTTTTAAGGCTGAATATTAGTTCATTTCAGTAAATCAAAGTTCGGGGCCTAAAGTTGGAAAAAAGTAGTAAAAGTCAGTTCTGAAAAGACGATTCTGTTTTTTTTTCTTAACTTTTTAACAAGTTTATTATTGCCTTTTTAATACAGAGAACTTCTGACTGACATCTTACAATACAGGATAAATAAACTTCAGCCACATTAGCTTGCATATCCAAATAATCGCTACAATGTTCGACTTCCGTAACAAGTGACCACCCTAACAAACACAATTAAAAAAAAAGAGACCTAATCCTAACCTTGACCCGACCCCTAACCCTACCCTTACCCCTCGCCTTCCCAAACCCGAACCCTACCCTCTATTCTATTTTGTTTCTATAGTGGTCAATCGTCACGGAATTCCTAAAAAAAAGCAGAGAAAAGATCCACAACATGACAATTAATTACATGAAGATCTATATATATATAAAATATATATTTATATATGATTTAGGAGTTCATACAATCGTGATCATTCATCAATAATGGAAGTGTTAGTGAGAATAGCCTGTAGGTGTCTTGCTATTCTCAACCCCCTCAGGTGTGCTACAAACAGTAGGTCTATAGCACAGACACACACAGAATAGCACAGAGAATAAATAAGTTGTAGAGATTAGTTTCAGGTTTAGTTCATTTAAAGGGCAGGGTGAAGGCCATTTCACACCGTGAACAACAAACAACAGTGAAAAAAAAAACCAACCCTCCTCCCCAAAAAAACAACAAAAACTTCAAACGCAGACTCGCTGTCTATTCGGCCATCAGAACTTCCGACAGCAAGTGGTCACTCAGTGTGTGCTGTTGGTGTACAGCACGCGCGCAGCGAAATGTGTGTTTTCCCCGTGAATACCATGGGAGTGTGTTAATCGATGATGAAAATAACGCTCTATCTTTCATAGCTTTTTATTTTTATAAAGTGTTACAAACACATGAATAACCCCCTCTCTCAAGCTGATTTAAGACATTACGAGTAGTTACGCCCATTCGAATAACCTTTCTAGACGCTCTTGTTGATGAATGACCTGAGGTTCGAAAGGGGGTAATATCAAAAGGTCAATTTTCGAATGTTTCGAACTCAAATTGTTCTTTGTACCTGCACAATGGTATTCAAAACTATCAAACAAGCTTCTTTTTTATCGGGTAGTATCATTTCATACGAAACCAAGCTCATTTGAAAGATTTTGTATACAAAAATGAAAGTCTTGTTTCCTGACTATCCTTTCGAGCTCCTCATGTCTAAAAGTGAGTCAATTTCTTCTATAATTTCATTGGACGAACATCTAGAGCTCCCAACTTGGCATGTTTTGAATGAGACGCATGCCTCGATTAGGAACCAACGCAGGCGGTTCTAGAAGAAGGTCACAAACGCACACAAACTCAAGCAGAATGACGCACACACACTTGACCTGCATGAATGAGGATCCGACTCGGGACCCGAATTTCACGTAAAAGATGATGCGCGGTGGGCATGCGCTGAGCCAGGGGCCACACTGATTCGGGACCACAACGAAGGCGAGGTGCCGAAATAGGCTTATCGGGCGACATTATAAACCCGGCCCCCGCAGGACGAGGGTTAGGCTTGACATAAATAGACACTTCCATCTTTGGTGCCATGCCGTTGGCAGAAAAGTGAAATAGCCATCACAGCATCTTTGAAGACGATCAAATTAGCGTACTTTTGTGCTATAACGTAATTTTTTCTTGGCTTTTATCAATTTGATCATCCACACCGATAGACAGTATTCCAAAATGAGGAAAAACAGGTCTTGTTTCACACCGGGTGAGAATAGCCTACGCTGGCAAGTCTCACACGGGGTGAGACCCGGGTGAGAGGTAGATCTAGATCGTATTTTTATTCTCACCCCGGGTGAGAATAGCCACTTCCGTTGGCTATACAGATGTAGTCACGTGATCGGAGGGGTATCCTGGTCTGACGTCAAACAAGATGGGCGCCTTACCTGAAAATAGTTTGCGTCATTCTACGTAAACTACGTTTAATCGCATCATTATTATATGTGTCTTGATCTATCTTTACTACTACAGAGAACTTTGTTACTTTGTCAGTATTTATTCATCATTTGACAGGTCAGAGTCATATGGATTCGTTCACTAGTTCAAGTCCTGCCGGTCCACCACGACGCCGCATCATAATCATATCATCACATTCATCAGTAGGCAATCATTCAAATTCAGAAGTCGCCTGGTCACCGCTGGCGGCCACTCAGGCAGGTGACAGTACAAACAGGCACAGGCGCTATCGCCATCGGATTCTCACCTATTGTTACAAACTAAACTGTCTTGGCGGTAGTCCAGGGTGGACCCAGCAAGACAAATAGAAATTGACGCATAAATAACCAAACCCCTGTCAAGCCCCCAATATTATTTACATCACAGGACACATTATTCTTTTATCACGCAGGTACAATTCATCACAAATTCATCCTTCTTCTTACCACGTAAGTTTGTCATGAAGTTATGTCCCTTTCTCAAAACAACGGCGATGCCCCCAGATTGTTCAGAGAAACGAAAATCGAGAAAGAAGCTTTCAGATTAAAATAAATTTACCAATGAGAAAACTAATAATTAAATATTTCTAAAATTTCTAAATCTTTCCTCTAATTTATTGCTTAGCGTGTAATTCGTTTTGCTTAATACAGGCTTTGTATTCTGCTAAAAATAGGAAATCAGTTGTTTCTTAGCAGTCCAAAATTTACTTTAGTAACATAATATGGTCATGAATTTGCTGTGCGAGATCTTTCCAATTCAATGAATAAATATGATTTGCAGGTCACAGGGCTACGATAGAATGTCTAAAAATATGCAATTATATGGATGTATTTCATATACACCTTGTTAATTGAGTGTTGTATTTTCACGGGGGTAAAAAAAATTGTGGTGAAAGTTGTTGGGGGGTTTTAACGCTAAAAATTGAGACTGACACTCAATATGGGTAAAAATATCAACTATACTGATCTTTTCAGAGAAATGAGTTCTACGAACAAGTGTCTGTTTTTTGCTGCATGGGGGGTTGGGGG